AAAACAAAGATGTTAAATGAAACTACTTTACGGATTTTATCGCGTTGTTTATTTTGATTGAAACTCCCGACGGGACATCCCGCAGGACACGGGATGTCCCGTGACCATGAACGCTGGAAAGGATTCTAAACGTAGTTTCATTTAATATGTATAATATTCGCGTAAAATCAAGAAAACAATATGTAAAACAAAGATGATTTTATTTTCGTAATGTTAACATTTCTAGCTACCACCATCACATATTCTTCTAACCCGATTAGCTCACAGAGAACTCACGTATTGACTTAAGTATTGAGTTAAGCTTACCTTTTGCATATAGCTTTATCTTTTTCATTTGCTTTTGTATCATGATTTCTATACAATTAATATATAGATAAATAAAAATAAATAATGATAAAACATACTATGGATACCAAGTTCGATCCGACGCCACAGGTAGACACAACATACCTAGCTTGTCGTTCGTTCTCTAATTTTGCAAAGGCCTGCCTAATACATATAACTGGGACCTCATATACCTTAAGTCTAGCTTTTCATATGTTTCTAACTACCCATAAGGATGAGAGAACCTAAGTAAAAAAGCAGAAAATATATGTTACAATGACTAATTGTCATGTGTAAATCGTACATATAATACGTCAAGCTATGCGTTTTCTATGACGCCAGGTCCATTTACGGCCGCCGTCGAATTTATTATTCAGCCCTCTATGAGCCAGTGCCGTAATGGACACCGTTACAACGAGCATATGCCCATATATTGTAAATAATGTAACGACATATTTTTCATACTCATGCAAATCAATTGGCTAATAATGTCACTCTCGCGACATAGAGTGTAACACGCAGAGCCAGCATTAAATTGCTTCAATAGTTTTAAGAGAAAACATTTATTATTTTGCCTTTTTATATAATTCACTTTTTTAAAAAAAATTATATTACGTTTAACATTGAATCAAAATAATTTGAGTCGGTCGTTCTCTGGGGTAAAAGAAAATAGTTTAGAATTATCCGATTGTCAGATATTGTATTAGCTTAGGAAGAGTATACAAAACAACGAATTAAAATTACTAGAAGTATATTAAAAATCCTTTGGAATTTTGACTCAAAGTATTCGTAACAAAATTAAAATTCAAAAATCATTTCAGTGTGTTTAAATTATTAATATTGGGAATTGTCCTTGTGTCATAAGGGAATGTGCCTACTATTTAGAATGCGTTAAATTTAGAAAACTAGAGGGTTTGTAATTCCACTTAAATAGGCATGGGAAAAAAATATCGATATTTTTCCATAGGATTATCGATATATATCGTCGCTATTTTTATCACGATTTTATTTATATCGATATTCGACATTTATTTAAATAATATTGAATTAGTATCATATTGCTTCGCTGCTATTTTAATGACTCCTTTCCTACAACTTTTAGAAGCATAGGTTCTCATTTACAATTGTGGACCCCAAATCAAATTTAGACTTAAACCATTCGAATGAATGCATCCACAATTTACAAACCAAACATGCATTTAGCAAACTACCGTGTTTCGTCACCATCATCATTTCAGCCCGTTCAAGTCCACTGCTGAACATAGGCCTCCCCCACAGACTGCCACGAGGCACGGTCCACCACTGAGTCCAGCATCCAAGGAAGTTTGTTTTAGATTTTGCTGTGGTAGGGCTAAGCAACAATCTTCGCCGTTGCATATTTATGCGAAGGTAGAAATAGCGATTTCCTGTGATATTTCGAAGAGTTCCGTTGCTATCTCCAAAAATGATCATCCGATCTATATGAAATTTATATGGGACCATTAAGGAATAAACCCTTTCGAACAAAAAAATTATTTAGCAAATCCGTGTCTGTATATGACGAAGTTATGCCCGAAACATACATAAAAAAATATAAACATCCGAATTGACAACCTCGACAAAGTCGGTTAAAAAAGATCAATTACATCTGTGCCATGCGTGTCTCTGGAATACGCTGCCCTGTGTACCGCGCGTCGAGTCGAATTAACAGCTGTCGGAGGCATGGGCCGTTTATCACACTAACTCGCGGCGCGGGACACAATTAGTGCAACGCCTAATTGCCCGATGCACCAGTGCGCTCAATTAGCCGACTGGGACTCAGCCCACTGCGAACGGACGCGATGTCGCTGTGTGCACTTGCCTTTGCAATGCACCTTTACGAAGAGTGTACGAAGTACGATAAACTTCTCGGTACTTTTTTTTATAGGAAAAAAGCAGCAAACGAGCAGGAGGCTCACCTGATGGTAAGTGATCACCGCCGCCCACGGACATCTGCAACACCCGAGGGCTTACAAATGCGTTGCCGGCCTTTTAGGAAAGACTACGCTCTCTTCTTGAAGGTTCCCAGGTATGATTTTTTTCAATAGGAAAGTCATCAACCGAGCAGGCGGGGTCACTTGATGTTAAATGCAGATGTGTCGACAACCCTTAAAACCCTCTAAACCTTTTAACTTTGAACTGTTGAGTTTCTTGCCGGTCTCTTCTCAACACAAACTGCTTTCGGAAGCGATGGTAACTTACGAACTTTGTTTCAATTCCTATGTTAAATTAAACGTTTCATAAGAACGGTCAAGCGTCTATTTGAATAAAGATCTTTTGAGTTTGAGTCTACCACACCAATCGCGAAATAACAATACTTCCACTTCTCGCTGGTCGTCTATGCGGTTGTGGTACTTCTCTGGAGCGGTCTAACCATTCAAGCAATAACAAAAGCTGCTCCATAGATCTATTCAGTCTCTGTTGATTACTGGCGTGATTCATGGTTAAATTAATATTCTTTAAACGAAATTGTTTTTATCACGTTGTGATATGGACGTGTCAACGTCAGGAACGCCATAAAATTAACTTTAAAACTGTTGCCATTTCAACATTTCATACTTTAAACGTATCGTCTCTCATAACAATTATTATCTAATCCCTGTTATCGGAACAAATTACTAAGGTGGTTGTATCAGACCTAATCTATCGTACGATATATACGACACGTATATCGTACGTGTAATCTATAATGTTTCTAAGTTGTACGTAATTTAGGTCGCCTAAATTTAACCTTTGATTTACAAGTAGTTCGCATGCTTTATGTTCTCCTAGTACTTTTGATTCAGTTGCTAAGCTAGGCATTGGCGTCAGGGGACTTACCCGTAGGCTCGATTTCTACACGGGACGAGTATTTGCGTGACCCACAAATTACTGTCCCAAATATGGGTGCTTGTTCCGAAAGAGGGTTCATGTCAGCCGGTCGTAAAAAGTTAAACTAAATCAAGGTCACTACTAACCACAAGAGCATGTTGTACCGACCGCACATAGGCAGAAGGATGATGATTTCTAAATTAATAATGTTATTAAACATTATGATAGGGAATGCTTTTTTATGGAAAAAGGAGGCAAAAGAGCAAGCGGGCTACCTGATGGTAAGCGATCACCGCCGCCCATGAACATTTGCAACATCGTTTGATCGATTGGAGCAGCTCCTCGTTGTATGCGGCCAAATAGGAGCTGGTATTTCGGTGCACCAGCCATCTAGCTTCCGTTTGTATGGTCGCTAGTTCAACCTCTATGGTCATACAGAACATTGTTTCCCACTTTTCGGATTTCTTGAATATAAAGATATCTATATATATCATTGTATCTGTGGCTGAATCTCATAACCTGCCAATCTCAGAATAGTCTCAATAAATTGCCTACCAAGTTTAGAATTTAATAGACATATATAATACTGTTTTCGGCTATTCGAAAAAAAGTAAAGTAAAGTAACAGCCTATACATGTCCCACTGCTGGGCAAAGGCCTCCTCTATACAGAGGGTATCAGGGCATAGTCCACCACGCGGCCCCACTGCGGATTGGCGGACTTCACATATCTTCGAAAAATATTTTTTTTGTTATTATTTCGAAAATATGCAGTTTTCCTCACGATGTTTTCCTTCACCGCGGAGCACGTGATAATTCAGCACTTAAAGTTAAAAACTTCATTGGTGCCGGCACCGGGGATCGAACTCAGGTTGCTCGAGTATATATTGAATTAAGGGCGAGCGCCCGGACACTGAGCTATCACGGCTCCGTGTCCGGGGTATTCGGATATCTTATACATAAAGGTCGTGTCACATTGATACAGCGATCTTTGCCAATGTGACACGACCTATAACTTAATCTTATCACCTGCCAGGTTCAGAAATTTGTCTCGATGAATCATTTGCCAAGTTCAGAACATATTTGATACTAGCTGTGCCCGCGACTATGTCCGAGTGGAATTTTAAATAAAAAAAATTCTAAAATAAAAGTAGCCTAAGTTACTCCTTAGTTCATTAGCTATCTGCCAGTGAAAGTCCCAGCCAAATCGGTCAAGCCATTTCAGAGATTAGCCGGAACAAACAGACAGAGACAGACAAAAATTGTAAAAAATGTTATTTTGGTATATGTACCGTGTAATATATCCATATCCGTTAAGTAAAAAGCGGTTATTTTAATTTTACAAACAGACACTCCAATTTTATTTATCTGTATAGATACGTGACATTGCTTCTTGCTTTTCGGATATCTTAAATAAAAAGATCGAGTCACATCAATCTTTCCATTTATGACTCAATCTCATCACCTGCCAATTCCAGAATTTAATCTCGATATAATTTGTCTCGTTGAAGCCAAAAGACTTGGGATCTTATGTCGAATACGAAGTATTAAGTTAATTATTTATTTAACAAATTATCACCATTGCCTTTGACCGATTTGCGAGCTCGTATCGTTCTTATCAAGCAATATCTGGCCACGCGAACGCTGTCGATTCCACCGTGGCGTTGTAACAGAGTCTAAATTAATGGAACCCCACGGCTCGAAGTTGTTTTTCGTACGTCTTAAAATCGTTCGTATAAAATAAATGTCTTACCAAGGTTTTCAACGAGTTAAATATGCGTTGAAACTTCCGCGTTAGTGTTTTATCGGTTTCTTTGAGCTAGTCTGTGGCCGTGTGCAGTAAATAACGATGTTTAACTACAAATACTTGACGGAGAGCCATTTAAAAGGATTTGACAATTACAAGGTACTACGCTTTATTTAGTTTGTTCTATACACCTCTGTTGTTTTTACGTTAACTTTCATTTAGCATTTATAAACTCGAATCGTGCATAATGCTATTAATATATCAAGTTACTTACGTAACAGTTTTAACGTAAACAAGGCCGCGTGGCTTTAGAGATGTGTATGAAAGGTATTTTGAATAAATCGAAAACCATTTTTTCAACAACGAAGTTAATTACTTACATAACATTTACTTTATAAGTTTGCATTAGGTATTTATTTATAATAAAACCAACTAAACAGCAACGCCAACGTGTTTAATATGTAAATGTTTCATTCAGCTATAACATTCGTCAATATGGCATTGGAAAACTAAGCAGTGTTGCCACTTAGTTTTGCACAGATAAAGTTATAAAGTATAAGACAAAATAAGAATTTAAAAATCGAACAGCATAAATGTTTTTTCATTGCTGATATTGTTTTTTAGTATCAGCGGTATTTATATTTGTTTTTAGTTAATTCAGTGCTATTTATATTTGTTTATTACCTTCGAACCCCGTCATTCACAAACCGATTCGAAAAATTCTTTTTTTTGTTGTGATGAAAGATTTTTAAAGGGATCCCATACTAATTTCATTGGTATTAAACCTTGGACTTCGAAGATATTAATGGGAACCGCTCAAATCGAGAGGGAAATGAGTAGTGAGTTTGATATTTGAAGTCGTAGAGGAACGATTTTTCAAACTACGATAACCCACTTTAGAGGTAAAAAATCGAGTAGCTGTAGATATTTCTTTAGATAAAATGTGTACTTTCGTCTGTTCTCAGTACAGAGCTGTCGACACAAGCCCACTCAGCAAGTATGTGATGCACCCAACGTGGAACATCACGGTGAAGGTACCCCATACTTCTGCCATTTTTGATTACCATGAAGAGTATGAATTTTCAAAACGGTGGATTCACATGTTGTATCGACCCCACATAAGTGGAATAAGGAAAGGACATAGAACAGATTTTTTATGTGAAAAAGTGGCAAACGAGCTGGCGGTTCACCTGATGTTAAGTGATAGCCGCCGCTCACGAACATTTGCAACACCCGTAGGTTTTTTTATAAATTGGGCTCCGGCTACCTCACTCACCAGACGAAACGCAGAAGTGTAACACTTCTATTTCACGCCGGACTTCTGTGAGGTCGTGGTACTAACCCGGACGGACCTGCCCATTCGTGCAACAGCGGACACTGTTGCTTGGCCCTACCACAGTTAAAGATACGTGTAGTATTATAATTTAATAACGTAGCGTATTATATACGTGTAGTACGTGCTTACGGTGGCAGGGCCACGCGGCAGCCTCGGCTGTTGCACGAATGGGCAGGCTCGTTCGGGTAAGTACCACGACCTCACAGAAGACTGGCGTAAAGTGGAAGGATAACAAATACTTTCGCGTTTCGTCTGGTGAATGAAGTGGCTGGAGTCCAATTTTCAAAAGGTCTTCAACGCATCTGGAGCCCTTGGGTGTAGCAGATGTCCATGGGCGGCGGTATTCACTTTACATCAGGTGAACCGTCTGCTCGCTTGGCAACTTTTCACATAAAAGAATAATGTATTAATTATTGTGCATTTTGTTTTCCAGGAAAATCTTTCATAAAAAACAGGATAAGTAACTATGTTTCAATAAAATAAAAGAGAATGAATTTAACATTAATGTATTCTTCGATATAATCAATAAGTTTAAATTAATATTTATCTACTTAATACATAATTTACAAATATAAATTTCACTTGAATCGGCCATCCAGGAAATGTGCGTATTCATGCTCGGCACGGATATACTACACAACAATGAAGTCATGGAGTGTAATCTCACCCATTGCTACTATTTACGTGACCTGCAAAAAATGTTTGTTACATGAAAAAAAATCAGGTGAACCGCCAGCTAGCTAGCCACTTTCTCACAAAAAAAATATCTTAATTTGTATCCAAAATATCTGTACTCCACAACCATAAAATAAAATATTCAAATGATCACAAAGAAGTTAAGGTTCTAATTACCAGTTAATTAGGAAATTGACTTCTTTCTTGATCCGATAGTTACCAGTTATTTATTTTGACTTTCTTGATCCGAACGTCGAACAGAACCCTAGATACGATGGTTAAGAATAAGCAATCCTTATCCTTACTTCCTTACTAATATTATAAACGCGAAAGTTTATAAGTATGGATTGATGTTTGTTACTCTTTCACGCATAAACTACTGAATAGATTTTAATGAAACTTTACAATAATATAGCTTATACATCAGAATAACACATAGGCCGACTTAGGCGATTTATAAAGATATTGCGTGAATTGTCCAAAACATAGGTAAAGATAAGTGTCAACTAAGTAGGAAAAAATTCAGCCATCTGTGAGATATTCTGGTGTATAATAAAAAACTCATTGTTAACTCCCTTTGGCCGCGCGGGTGAAGTCGCGGTTAACAGGTAGTTGGAGATAAACAACAAGTCAATTTTCCAGTTCTTACCGAGATCGGTAGCGCCGAACCTGCTTACTTTCCTCGGTTTCGTCTGCGTGGTGGCCGTGGCGGCGGCCACCTGGTGCTACGACCACGATTGGTACGCGTCCGGCGGGAGGCCCGGGCACCGGTACGACGGGCGGTACGAGATACCGAACTACGTGTACACCATCAGCTCAGTGCTGATCTTCCTCGCTTACAATTTAGGTAAGTCTGAAATTCCCTTTAACCTCCATCTGAGGGGCCCTTGGATTGTGTCGTGCCCGCACCCGCCCCTTTGTTGGTCGATTATCCATCTTTCGTTAGCAGGGTAGTGTATGTAAACAGTTGCCGAGCAGTTCACCTGATGTTAAGTGATTACCGCCGCCCATATCCTCCCGAGGGATCAAATGCTTTGCCAACTTTTAAGAAAGTGGGCTCACTTACTGTAAAAAACGCCGAAGCCGAGACGTGAAAATACTATATTTTCACGTCTCACCGGTCTTTTCGACCGTGGTAATACTCCCGTCGAGCCTGCCCATTCAGTCGGTCTGGTCGAAAGCTTAGTTTTATGGTTAACTGAGTATGCCTTTGGGACGTAATTACAAGATATAATGTTTACAGTCAGCTTTCTGTTGATATTTCTTGTATAATCCATATAAGTTGGGTGGGTCATTGCCATATATTTATATGATTATTTTTAATGTTTAGTGATAGTCTCAACACGCAACGAAACATTAAATATAAATTTACTACACAGACCACCGAAAATATCGGACGCTTAGGTCAATTGGATGAGGCGTTATCTAAAATAAAAAAAAGAAAAGTGCACATGATGTTGGCAGCGCTGAAAAAATTTTTCAGCAATTCAATTAAACTCATATTAATATTGCGCTTATTTGTTAAAATAAGGAAAATAAAAATGACTCGTTTGGTATAATCAGTTAATTTTATATAACCAGTGCTGCCCACTCCTAACTTCATTATATATACTTTTCTTCGGAACCACCGTCACACACTCACAACCACCATAGTTCGTCCTCACCTACAAGCACGGCGAATCCACTAGGTACACCCGCGTTCCAGGGCGGTTCTCACCGCCCCCAGCCACCGACTAACTAAGCACAGTGTTGACCGTGACCAGGATGGCCGTTGGGCCATCCTGGTCACGGTCGGCACCGAACCCCCATAGCCCGAAGGTGTCACTTCTTAGTTAACGCAAGCATGAGCACAGGCGTGGCCCTACCCACTGTGGTGGGCCTCAAACACGTGACTCTGGCTAGCCTACGGGATCTGCGTTCGATGAAGCTTTAACAGTCTACGTACTGAAAGCGTAAACTTCAGTTACATAAACAACATAAACTAGACTTAATTGATACGCAAGACAGAAGACCTCTTTATTGCAAGTCCACGTAACGCATGTTAACAAGTGAATCTCGCGGGTTGTATTACGCCCTTCCCGAGGACTATATTTATTTACCCCCAGGATGGTATATTTCATTGCAAGTCCACGTAACGCACGTTAACAAGTGAATCTCGCGGCTTGTATTACGCCCTTCCCGAGGACTATATTTATTTACCACCAGGATGGTATATTTCATTGCAAGTCCACGTAACGCTTGTTAACAAGTGAATCTCGCGGGTTGTACTACGCGCGTGCCGAGGACTATATTTATTTACCACCAGGATGGTATATTTCATTGCAAGTCCACGTAACGCTTGTTAACAAGTGAATCTCGCGGGTTGTACTACGCGCGTGCCGAGGACTATATTTATTTACCACCAGGATGGTATATTTCATTGCAAGTCCACGTAACGCTTGTTAACAAGTGAATCTCGCGGGTTGTACTACGCGCGTGCCGAGGAGTACATTTATTTACCACCAGGATGGTATATTTCATTGCAAGTCCACGTAACGCTTGTTAACAAGTGAATCTCGCGGGTTGTATTACGCGCGTGCCGAGGACTATATTTATTTACCACCAGGATGGTATATTTCATTGCAAGTTCACGTAACGCTTGTTAACAAGTGAATCTCGCGGGTTGTACTACGCGCGTGCCGAGGACTATATGATTTATTTACCACCAGGATGGTATATTTCATTGCAAGTCCACGTAACGCTTGTTAACAAGTGAATCTCGCGGGTTGTACTACGCGCGTGCCGAGGACTATATTTAGTTACCACCAGGATGGTATATTTCATTGCAAGTCCACGTAACGCTTGTTAACAAGTGAATCTCGCGGGTTGTACTACGCGCGTGCCGAGGACTATATTTATTTACCACCAGGATGGTATATTTCATTGCAGGTCCACGTAACGCACGTTAACAAGTGAATCTCGCGGCTTGTATTACGCCCTTCCCGAGGACTATATTTATTTACCCCCAGGATGGTATATTTCATTGCAAGTCCACGTAACGCACGTTAACAAGTGAATCTCGTGGCTTGTATTACGCCCTTCCCGAGGACTATATTTATTTACCACCAGGATGGTATATTTCATTGCAAGTCCACGTAACGCTTGTTAACAAGTGAATCTCGCGGGTTGTACTACGCGCGTGCCGAGGACTATATTTATTTACCACCAGGATGGTATATTTCATTGCAAGTCCACGTAACGCTTGTTAACAAGTGAATCTCGCGGGTTGTATTACGCGCGTGCCGAGGACTATATTTATTTACCACCAGGATGGTATATTTCATTGCAGGTCCACGTAACGCTTGTTAACAAGTGAAACTCGCGGGTTGTATTACGCGCGTGCCGAGGACTATATTTATTTACCACCAGGATGGTATATTTCATTGCAAGTCTCACGTAACGCTTGTTAACAAGTGAATCTCGCGGCTTGTATTACGCCCTTCCCGAGGACTATATTTATTTACCACCAGGATGGTATATTTCATTGCAGGTCCACGTAACGCTTGTTAACAAGTGAAACTCGCGGGTTGTATTACGCGCGTGCCGAGGACTATATTTATTTACCACCAGGATGGTATATTTCATTGCAAGTCCACGTAACGCTTGTTAACAAGTGAATCTCGCGGGTTGTACTACGCGCGTGCCGAGGAGTACATTTATTTACCACCAGGATGGCATAAGCACTAATAATTCCGCAGTAGGGAAAATTAGCGACATCAGAAATATCTAGTTTTCGTTACAGATGGCATAGACGGGAAGCAGGCGCGACGCATCGGCGTGTCTGGGCCCCTCGGCGAGATGTTCGACCACGGCCTGGACTCGAACATTGTGTTCCTCATACCGTTCTGCCTGTTCTCAATATTCGGCAGGGATGAGTTCTCCGTCCCGATATTCCGGTACGTGCGAGGTGTGATAGCAATTTGTATATAATAATTTCTTGTATTTACGCGATAACACATTATAAATGAAACAAATTTTATGGAATTATGGCGTTTATTTTGAATTGTTCGAAACGACGGGAGTTACAATTAAAAATAAACGCGATAAATCCGTACAAAAATTAGTTTCATTTATAAGTTGTATATAAGTCTACCGGTAGCAATGAAAATGATAAAAAATACATTTTGCTACCTGTGCTTATAATGCTTACATTTTATTACTGTGGTAGGCCAACCGCCCCTGCTGTTGCATGAATGGGCAGGGTTTGCTAAAGATGCAATGGAGCGAACGTAGATGAACGCTCTGAGGTCATCGGCCACCAGCTTAGTTGGTAAGGCGTCTGGGCTTCATCTGGTGTCAATGAAGCAGGTTGGAATCGCGCAGCGCCGAAAGTTTTGTTCATCAATCTACAAGTTTGTCTCGGGTGCAGAGACTTGAAATAAAAATTGATCTACAAACATACAACAGAACTGACAATCTTCTCCCTTTATTATAGTCGGTTGAAAAAGTTAGTTTTACTTAAAATTAACATCACCGACGAATGCGCTTTGAACTTTTTGTTTTAGTCTAAAGTCTAAAAGGTTACTTTTAATTTTAATTGGATGTATTGATAAAGTTTTTGTGTGGTCTGAAATATCGAGTATGGGATAAAGTGAAAAATACGAAGCATTGCTTCTAACTTAATTGTCAAACGTATCATTAAAAAAGTTATTTTTCTTCAAACAAAAAATTGAAAAAGAAAAACTGAGTTGTGTTTTGCGTTGAGTGGACAAAATTAAATACGTATTTGACGGTACACTTATGTCCGCATCAATGTAGTGTTCGCTTTATAGTATAAGGAAATAATTGTATAGTTACTGGGCAAAACAGCCTCTCTTAACCAGCATTAAATTAATTAATGGTTTTAATGGAATATTAAAAATGTTTGTTTCATTTTTAAATTACACGTAACAAGGCGAGTCGCATAAGCATAATATCATCACATCATCGCATTGGACTGTGTTGTTTTATACATATAAACCTTCCTCTTAAATGACTCTATCTAGGAAAAGAAAACCGCATCAAGATCCGTTGCGAAGTTTTAAAGTTCTAAGCCTACATAGGGACAGACAGCGGGACGACTTTATTTTATACTATGTAGTGAAGCCCTTATCAACATATGTGGGCACATGCAAGTGCGTGATTTATCGAGATTCACATTTTGCCATACAGCAAAGTATATAATAATTCAACAGTATTGTTTATTATAATAACTAGCTAAGTTTGCTTGAAATTGGGTCTTCTTTGTTAGGGTTCCGTACCTAAAACGTAAAACGGGACCCTATTACTAAGACTCCGCTGTCTGTCTGTCGTCCGTCTGTCACCAGACTGTATTTCATGAACCGTGATAGTAAGACAGTTGAAATTTTCACAGGTGATGTAGCTATTTCCGTTGCCTCTATAAAAACAAATACTAAAAAAATATTTAAGTGGGGCTCCCATACCATAGACATGAAAATTTTGCAGATAATGCTTTTATAGATAATGGTACGGAACCCCTCGTGTGCGAGACCGACTCGCACTTGTTTGTAATTACTCCTCGAGTTGTGGCACGGTACATATAACGTGGTTTAAGTACCACACACGAACTAGAACTTTTTAAAGCGTAAATATCTGAAAGTCTTCTGATTATTGTTTCATGACAATATCCTTATATATTCTAAATTGTTATATATCTCTAATATACTTATTCTTTTTTACGAATAGATAATTTTTACGGTTTTATTTTCTGTAATGTATATGAAATTAGAGAGAACACAAGGAAACGCGGCTAGTATCTGTAACTGTTTATTCACCAATGACAAAACATGTATGTCCATTTACCCGCCACCCATAAAATAAATCTTTACTTACTACCTTACATTATACTCCTCCACACCTACTCATTATCCTAGTATACTTAAATCTAATTAACTTACATTTTTAACTTCCTATTTTACATTTTATTTTCTGTTCAACTTAATCTATAACAAGTTTTTTAAGCCTGCATTGTCTAATAGGACGTGTGCGAGGTTCTGAGGGCGGTACGACGTTTGGCAAGGCGTCCTGGTACGCCGGAGAACCCACGTTTTCGCTGACGGTCTCCCTTGCTAACTCCCGTTGGTTGCTGCCAATCTCCGAACCTTCTATTGGCTGGCGGTCTCCGCGAACTGCACCCCCTGCGTGTCCGCTTCCCACCATCGCCGTTCTCTGCCACCCGACGTTCCCGATTCCCAGCGAGTGTACCCCCGCTCTGTCTTCGGTTTTTGTTGATCCGCTCGCATCCACCGCCGCTGCGTCCCGCTCCGCGGCCTCCAACGAGCTGGCTATCTTTACTGCATTGGTGAAACTTAATGTGTCGTTTTCCGCAAACAACCTCTGCCGGATAACATCGCTCCTTAATCCGCAAACAAACTGATCCCGCAGATTTTCATTAAGGGTGACGCCCAGCTTACAGTGGCGTGTTAACCTTTTCAACTCTGCCACGTAACCTGCTATATTTTCGTTTGCAGCTTGTCTCCTCTGTCTAAAGCGAAACCTCTCTGCCAACGGTGAGGGTGCCGGTTGTAAATGACTTTGTAAAAGACTAATGGCGGTGTCGTATTTAATTCCGACGGTTTCGCGGGGCTAGCCAAATTCACAAGCAACTCGTACGCTTCATCGCCCATTACCGCTATCAGTGTGGGTAACTTGAGATCATTATTTACATTATTCGCCGTAAAATACATTTCAAGTCTATCCACATACGACGACCACACCCCAGTTTTCACATCGAACTCGTTCACCTTTCCGATCGACATTGCTTTTGTAAACTTGCAACGAATAATTATTTACAATAAGAAAAATAGTTTTTTATCCTCGTCGCCAATGTAATGTATATGAAATTAGAGAGAACACAAGGAAACGCGGCTAGTATCTGTAACTGTTTATTCACCAATGACAAAACATGTATGTCCATTTACCCGCCACCCATAAAATAAATCTTTACTTACTACCTTACATTATACTCCTCCACACCTACTCATTATCCTAGTATACTTAAATCTAATTAACTTACATTTTTAACTTCCTATTTTACATTTTATTTTCTGTTCAACTTAATCTATAACAAGTTTTTTTAAGCCTGCATTGTCTAATAGGACGTGTGCGAGGTTCTGAGGGCGGTACGACGTTTGGCAAGGCGTCCTGGTACGCCGGAGAACCCACGTTTTCGCTGACGGTCTCCCTTGCTAACTCCCGTTGGTTGCTGCCAATCTCCGAACCTTCTATTGGCTGGCGGTCTCCGCGAACTGCACCCCCTGCGTGTCCGCTTCCCACCATCGCCGTTCTCTGCCACCCGACGTTCCCGATTCCCAGCGAGTGTACCCCCGCTCTGTCTTCGGTTTTTGTTGATCCGCTCGCATCCACCGCCGCTGCGTCCCGCTCCGCGGCCTCCGAACGAGCTGGCTATCTTTACTGCATTGGTGAAACTTAATGTGTCGTTTTCCGCAAACAACCTCTGCCGGATAACATCGCTCCTTAATCCGCAAACAAACTGATCCCGCAGATTTTCATTAAGGGTGACGCCCAGCTTACAGTGGCGTGTTAACCTTTTCAACTCTGCCACGTAACCTGCTATATTTTCGTTTGCAGCTTGTCTCCTCTGTCTAAAGCGAAACCTCTCTGCCAACGGTGAGGGTGCCGGTTGTAAATGACTTTGTAAAAGACTAATGGCGGTGTCGTATTTAATTTCCGACGGTTTCGCGGGGCTAGCCAAATTCACAAGCAACTCGTACGCTTCATCGCCCATTACCGCTATCAGTGTGGGTAACTTGAGATCATTATTTACATTATTCGCCGTAAAATACATTTCAAGTCTATCCACATACGACGACCACACCCCAGTTTTCACATCGAACTCGTTCACCTTTCCGATCGACATTGCTTTTGTAAACTTGCAACGAATAATTATTTACAATAAGAAAAATAGTTTTTATCCTCGTCGCCAATGTAATGTATATGAAATTAGAGAGAACACAAGGAAACGCGGCTAGTATCTGTAACTGTTTATTCACCAATGACAAAACATGTATGTCCATTTACCCGCCACCCATAAAATAAATCTTTACTTACTACCTTACATTATATTTTCCAGGGGGTACTTAATTGTGGCGAGTGTCGTGCTTAACTTCTACATTACCCATTGTGAGAAATACAACACGGGAGTATTATATCTACCCTGGGGATACGATGTGGCAATGTGGGTGAGTAGGGATGATTTATCGTATACTAGCTGCTGCCCGCGACTACGTCTGCGTAGAATAGGCTGAAGACGTAACATTCAGACAGAAAGACAGATATTCATAAAATGTGTATATAAATGATAGCCTATGCGTTAATCTGATGTATAGGCCATCGCCATTTCGCCTTCATAATATTATTAAGGATTTTGTACGTAACTAAATAATATAAATTTATGGTCTATTGATTGTTGGGAATGACGCTTACCGGTAGATCATGGGTTCCAATCTCAAAGCGGTGCGCGAATGGTTTTTTAGCGTTTCGAATTTGTTAACTGTAAGTTATACGTCGTGTAAGATGACAGTCATGGCTAGTCAGCTTATGCTTTGCAAGTATATCTCCGTATGACTCCGGCGCTAAAGCCAATGACTGAAGCAACTGCACCACCGACTCATCATCATTAATGTTACTGTTTGTTTTACAATTTCATTTTAAAATTAAATTAATTTTATTTTATTTGTTAATTAAATACACGTGTAGAGCCGGGCTGTTTCAAAGTCCGGTCGCTTAATTCGTTATATCCAACCAAACTTCAAATTCCGATGCTGGAACCAAGGAATTAATGCAAATTAAACCAAGGAGTTAATTGCAATTTCAAGTGTTGCTTCACCGTATTCGGTCTCGTGAAGAAGCCATCGAAGACGACGCGATGACTCCAGCCTATCTAAGGAATAAAGGAAAATAAATATATTTAAAGATATATGAAGTCTGCCAATCCATGTGGGTTCGCATTCGGTGGTGAGGCTTTTACCCAGGATATGATTTGCAGCATACGCCGTTACTTTTTGACTATGTTAAAATATTGTTAATAGATGATGGACAAACATAAATGTATGTATGTTTATTCTGAGGCCACGCAGCAGTCTTCAGTTTTGCATGAATGGGCAGACTCATGGGTAAGTACCACGACCACACAGAAGACCAGCGTGTAGTGGAAGTGTTATACTTCCGCGTGTCGTGTGGTGGGTGAGGTAGCCGGGCCTTTTTTTCATGTGAAAAGTTGCCAAAAGAGCCGACGGTTCACCTGATGGTGAGTGAATACCGCCGTCCATGGACATCTGCTACACCCGAGGGTTACAGATGCGGTGACAACCTTTGAAAAACGTAGGGTTTCAGATGCGTTGCCATCTTTCAATACGTTTATTGCAAATGTCCATAAGCGGTGGATATCATTCACACGAACCACTAGCTCTTTTACCACGTCGCATAAAAATATGTATGTTTAATAAGACATTGATGAAAGATTTTTCTAAATTTGTAAACGTACTTACTGTGTTTAATACTGTAAATGATGTTTTTGTTCTCTATTATTTGTTGTCTCTAAAACTTGTGCATTTTTCGCACATAATTAACTGAACGTTTTTTATGTTGTATTGTCGTTTGCGCAGGCCGCTGTTCTTTTGTTCCTGGTAGCGGGCGTCAATGGCCCGGTGTGTTACAAAGTGCACGTTTTCGGTGATGTCACCTTCGCCCAACTGCTAGAGGTCGCCATCCACGCGACTGGACTGTTCACCACTCTGCCCGTATCCATCTACAACGTTCTTCTGTGAGTAAGCTCACGTAACGAAATTATGTAGATCCACTGATGTAACAAATAGGCAACTAAATTAAAATTTGTAGAAAAAAGTACGAATAGTTTGTCGCTGCTGTGGCAATCGAGCCCACGTCTTCAGGTTTCGCCGAATAACACACCTTGTAATGACACTAATAACTTTAACAAAATATCACTAGATTAAGATCTCCCTGTAAATTTTAATATTCTAAGTTAACCCTAAATATTCTTAAACAGTATTCGCAAAAACTCATTCTCCTCGGCATTTTCTACGCATTTAATGACAACCATTATGTATTAATGATCATAGGATGTTTAGCACTTCTATAGTACGTCGATCCTCTGTTTCCCCTCTTTTGAAGGGGTCTGAAAATAATATACACCGTCAGCACACGCTAGATGAAGGATTCGCTACGCAGTTTCTGTATTCCTTACTTACTTACACTACGTTGTGATGTACAATACTTTGGTGCAATTATTTGTTGCGCGACCTAGGCCTTTGCAAGGCAGGATTTTACATGAGTTTAAAAGAAATTATCGGAGTTTCTTTCGCCTGTTTCTCCTCCGTTATAGGAACCCATTACGAAACGGTGGTAGATTTGACTTTTAGAAAAATTGCTTTCAATAGATGAAATGTATGTTTTTTTAATTCATAACTTGCGAGCACTTGCCATCCCACCTGGTGGTAAGTGGCGATGCGGCCTTGTTGTATGTTCCTTACGTCGATGAATAAACGTTTTTGGTTTTGATATATCACAGTGTCCGTCAATGGGACGTTGGTGAAACACCAGCTGATTTGATTATGAAGAAAGCGCCATCAATATACCGTGAATCCGTGCCTTGAATTTCAAATTTGATTACTCCCTGGCGCAGTTGCCAAGGTACCGGCTTCGGCGTCGGGGGTCGTGGGTTCGATTCCCACACGGGACAACTATTTGTGTGACCCACAGATAGTTGTTTCGCATTGTCCGCGTGAAATTTATGTATGTAAAACGTCCTTACAACACAGGATCATGCTGATATCCTAAAGTACAACGTTAAAGGGCAACGTTTTAGAAAAAAATCGTAGATCTTATAAGGACCGTTCGGGCAAGTGCTACACACTGATGGAGGCGGTGCGACCTCTGTGGTCGATCACTTCGATGATCGCCGTGATGACCTACTGGGGGGTGATGTCGCCGAACAACATAATGGAGAACCACGCTCGAGTTTTCCTGCTGTTATTCGGCACGCAGTTTAGCAACATCGCTGTAAGTTGGCTCAAGGAGACTTAAAATTTGGTCTCACACGTACTGTTCGCTACTACTCTCACTTATTTTTATTGATGAGGTTTCTTATTTTATACCAGCTGTTAAACGCGGCTTAGCCTGCGCGGCCAAAGGGAGTTAACAATTTTTTATTTTACACCATTATAGCTCGCAGATGGCTGAATTTTTTCCTACTTAGTTGACACATATCTTTACCTATATTTTGGACAATTCGCACAAAAGCTTTATAAATTATAGCCTATGTGTTATTCTGATCTATAAGGTATATTATTGTAAAATTTCATTAAAATCTATTTAGTAATTTTTGCGTGAAAGAGTAACAAACATCCATCCATACACACAAACTTCAGCGTGTATAATATAAGTAAGGAAGTAAGATATAGTATTAGTAAGGATTATAGTGTTGTCTGTGGTAGGCCTTCACTAAAACTACAAGTTAATAAAACAATATTAAGAAAACATTACTACAAGTGAAATTAAGATCAGGTGTAGACCAGTCACTGCTAGGAGACTAAATTCTTTTAAAGATAAAGTAGCACAGCATGTATTCCATAAAGATATCGGAGTCAATGACCCTAATGATTGTTATAGATCAATGGTTGATTTCCTCATAACATCCTATAATCATATTTTTAAACCCCGCACAATTGTTAAAAAATCAAAATTAAAATTTAGTGACTGGGCAACAGTGGGTATATATATAAAAGTAGGGATTCACTGTATGAATTATATAATATGAGGCAGTGGAATCACGACCCTAATTTCCATAAACGGGTACAAAATTTTTTCAAAAATATTTAAAAAAGTCTGTATACATGCAAACCTATCTACATAAGAAATAGGATTTTAAATTCTAGTAATAAAATAAAAGCTACATGGGACATTATTACCTGTATATCTGGAAGACCCAAGATATTCAGGGAACCAATAAAGCTAGTGATAGGCAATACACCCATAACTTCAGATAACGAAATTGCAAGTAGTTTTGAAAGTTATTTTTCAGAAATTGCAATTAATGTTACATGCACGTTAAAATCCTCTCCCATTGATGCAATTAATGTATCAAAAAATAATGTTACCTATTGTCGACAAACTTTTAAATTTAATCACATAGATACTAATGATATTACAAAAGTTTTGAATTCTATTAATCTTAAAAATACAGGAGATTTGTGGGGCATGTCCATAAAATTAATGAGTACAATAATGCCGTATATTGCACCATATTTGGCAAATATTTTTAACAAATGTATAGATTCTGGAATATTTCCAGATCTTATGAAATTCAGTAAGATAATCCCCGTTTTCAAAAGTGGGGATAAAAATTATCCAGGAAATTACAGACCTATCTCCATATTGCCATCTCTGAGTAAAATTTTTGAAAAACTAATTTTAAATCAACTCTTAGTACATTTTAATATGAACAAAATTTTCCACAATGAGCAATATGGATTCACTAAAGGCAGATCGACAACGGATGCGGGTGTCGCACTTGTCAAGCATATTTGTAGCGCCTGGGAAAGGTCACAAGATGCAATAGGTGTCTTTTGCGACCTTTCAAAGGCTTTCGACTATGTAGACCACGAAACCCTCCTTCAAAAGTTAGATTATTATGGCATTCGTGACATCGCCCTCAATCTCATTGCCTCTTACCTTAATAATAGAATTCAAAAAGTATCTATAAATCATGTAAATTCCACAGGGTCCCCCATGAAAATGGGTGTCCCACAAGGATCAATCTTGGGTCCATTATTATTCTTAGTGTATATAAATGATCTCCCCTTTTTTGCCAGTGAGTTATGTGATATTGTACTGTTTGCTGACGTTAAACTCCGCTGTTTTTGCAGTTAGGAAGGTTAGGCAGCTATCAGACATCGACACTGCCAGACTTGTTTATTTCAGTTATTTCCACAGCATCTTGTCTTACGGCATTTTGTTGTGGGGTAATGCATCTGATATAAATTCTATATTTATTCGTCAAAAAAGAGCTGTCCGAGCAATCTATAACATCGGAGCCCGGAATACACTCAGAGACCTTTTTAAAGAGATTAATATACTCACTGTTGCGTCTCAATATATTTATTGTAATATTTTGTATGTTAAAAATAATATTAATAGTTATCTAAAGAATAGTGACAGACATAAACTAAATACTAGAAATAAGGACAAACTAACTACGCCATTGTTTCGTTTACAAAAAGTAAACAGGTCGTTCATGGGGCAAGGTGTGCGCATGTATAATAAAATCCCACAGTCGATATTAAGTCTGCCACTTGATGAATTTAAACGAAAAATTAAAAGTAAACTTATGGCTAAATCCTATTATTCTATTGCTGAATATCTTGACGACGCCAATGTGTGGGGTTAATACTGTTATACTGGATACTCACGTAGGCTAAAACAAGACTATTGTACATGTACTATTATATTGTAAACTGATTTTTTTTAAAAAAAGCAACTGTTGAGTTTCTTGCCGGTTTCTTCTCAACAGAAACTGCTTTCCGAACCGGTGGTAACTTACGAACGTGTTAATTTCTTGTAAAATTTTGACGTTTCATAAGAACGCGCAAGCGTCTATGTGAATAAAGATATTTTATTATTATTATTATTATTAAAAAACTACCATCTAAGTAGGAATTCAGTAACCATCAGGTGAGCCTACTTTTCTCGATAAAAAAAAGTCCTACACAACAGTTTCTGTTGCAGGCGCGTCCGGGGACGTACCACGGCCTATACACATATTTACATATGTGTATATATATATATATATATATATATATATATAATGTCATTTTTGTTTAGTGTGTGAATAACCTGTCATCGTTCTAGACGTTATATCTGTGCATCTACCTCGATTGCTCTACACCACCCTAATGTTGACTGGTAGAAAATGCGTTTGGCAATAAGTCCGCCTTTGTACTAGATTGTGCATAAAGTGTAAATAAAAAAAATAAAAGAAAGCTTGAAGTGGCAGTATTAAACACGTTACCTCTGGTGTATGCGGTAACCGGGGCTTAGTTTTTTTGTAAGGTTGTCAACGCATCTGCGAGCTATCGGGTGTTCCTTTCCAGCTAGCTCGCCACCTTGTAACATAAAAAAAATGTTAATACCTATAACATTTGAGGATTGCCCTTGATTTCTCTAGGATGCCTTCATTAGATCCGGAATTTCTTCATGGTACCACCCATGGGATATCTCCTTTCCAACAAAAAAGAATCATCATAAACGGTTCATAAATGACGAAGTTATCCCCGAACACACATAAAAAAATATATATATATATATACGGTCGAGTTGAGAAACCTCCTCCATTTTTGAGGTCGGTTAATGAAATAAAATTACATACGAATTGAGAAAAAAGGTTAAACAACACGCTTTCCACTTAGTTTACATTAATGTTTTCGACAGAGTCGGCTGATAGTGGCGGAAATGAGCGACCAGCGTTGCGAACTCTTCAATCGGCTGCTAGTGCCGTCTCTGGCTGCGGTGGCCATATCAATGTACCAGCCCCAATTAGAAGTATACGCTCTGCACACCCTCCTCATAGCTTCGTTGCTAGCGCACGTACATTATGGGGTTTGCGTGGTAAGCACTTCGAAATCACTTCCTAACATCGTGACAACAATTCACAAGCTACACTTATAAGTGAAAACGAATTGAACTCGGGATTTCGACCCAACGAATTAAAAGTCAGCGCTTAACGCTGAGCTTACACGGCAAAAAAAAAACGTAAAAAAAAAAAAATTTGATTACGACAACACACAAGATTGAAATGCGTTTCGTTCTGAAGAACTAGTCTTAGGGAACTTTTATAACGAGCAGTTAATCATATGAACAGTTTCAGACTTTTCTCAGTTACAGCGACTCCTTCGCCGCGTCCGCGAACTCATGTTTCAAAGACACACGTCCAACATGTAATTTCCTGCGATCAAAACGTGTACAAAACATCACACGACACGTTATTTTGTATTTCTAATATTATCTTTCAAACGTATTTTATCACATCCCCAATATTTTTATCTTGCTAATGTTTTATTTCATGTCGTTGTCATATCTAACCTTTGAGTTGTCGGCGGAATTCTTATTTGAAATGTTTAAAATACTTATTTGAATCGACATTTGTCTAATCATACATTTGCTTACTGAAAGGCCGCAAAGCGGCTTGCAAAATGGCGGCGATATCATCAAAATTGAACACTGTGAGTGGAACTACATTTTCAACGCCTTTCGATAAATGTAATTTTCAATCGTTGTTTTATGGAGAAATACAAAAATATAGTGAGCACAAGATCATCGACCATTATTTAATTCGCATCACAACTATAAGATAAATACTTAATACATTCTACGCTAAGCTAAGATAGAAAGACATATTTACACGATAAAATCTATTGATGTTGATTCAAACAGGGTTAATCACTTAGTCAGGTGAACCGGTTGGTTATAAAAAATGCAGAAAACTAAAGTGCAAACAAAGTGCTTGGCCATCTTCAATAATACATGAAGCAAAAACTATGTACGAAAATTGCGCGGACGGAGGAGTATGAAATTTCCCACACATAGTTTATATAGAGATGGGATGCTAATATTTTTTTTTATTATGCATAAAAAATACATTAAATCAATAACAAAAACACACTCTACCGTGCGTAATTAATTATGGTTGAATTTTGACCAGTAGGCGACTTAGTACTTATAGCTATGAGTAGAGAAATGAGAAGGCTTTACTGACTTTATCATCAATAGTATAAAACAAAGTCGTGCCGCTGTCTGTCTGTCTGTCCCTCTGTAAACTAAGATCTTTAAAACTACGCTACGGATCTTGATGCAGTTTTAATTGATAGAGTGATTCAAAGAGGAAGGTCTATAGGTATAATACATTGCACCCGTGCGAAACCGGGGCGGGTCGCTAGTATACTATAAGGTTGTAGACTACCTTTCTAACTTTATACTCGTACCCACTACTATATAGCTTTACTGGAGCATTAACTGTTGTACCTAACCTTTACCTAATGTACCTTATAATATTACACATAAATATTACTTTCACTAATTTGTACTAGGATAAAATCCCTGATTTCAAATATATGACATTGATGTGTCCCTACTTTTGAAGTTTTAAGGTATTTTGAGTTTGTTAAAAAGTAGTAATGATGATGAAGATTTGTGTTATGGCAACCTTTAAAGGATAATTTGAAGGTAATGTTGCCAGAACAGTTAAGTATTTAAAATATAATGGCTAGACCGTAGCCTTTTGTAGGAGTGGTTAAATCGAAGACGGTGCCCATGGGAATCGTGGGATAGCCAGACCCCACAACCGTCAATAATAGGGTTCACTCAAGTGATGCGTTTGTAATCCAAGACTTCCTTAACTTAAACCTTAACTTAGCATCAGCTCATCAGTTCGTGACGAATAAAGTTGACGTCACCATTCACACGGCAAACGATCCGAAAGGTCTACTGTGTCCTCATCAGATGCCACTGATTTCAGAGTAGTCCCACGTTTGTTTAGGCGACTGAGGAGGATTTCAGTGTTACCAACTGTTCAAAAAGCTCCAATAACAATTCAGAAACCCACTAAAATCCCCTAAAATTCTCTAAATTCAACTATTTAAGTTGAATCCCAGCCGTAAAAAACTTCCATTGTAATCTTTTCCTAAATTTAGGAACAAAACTCCTAAGTTTGCATCCGTGGAGGATTACACTCGGCTAACAGCTTAACCACCGCGACCTACCATCGAGTTGAATTTTACTGTAACAGTAAAAGCGCCAACTTGTCCGTTGGACAAATCGCATTTGAGCACTGTCACAAGTTCGTAATTTTTCGGACGAATTAATGTGTCCAATCAACCCTTAGCGTAATAGGAAAAACTGGGTTCGTATATATATGAATTTAGTTTGTCATTTCTACTACATATGTATTTACTACGCACTAGTGGTCACCCAGTGGTCGAAATTCGACCATAATTGATTATACTGTTGTATTTTATAGTGTTTTTTTAGACAAATATTAGCATCTTACATAGAGAATGAGTCTCTCTATAAACTATAAGTGTGGCAAATTTCATACACCTCCGTCCGCGCAATTTTCGGAGCCCACTTTATTTAAAGGTGGCAACGCATTTGCAACCCTATGCGGCGGTTACCACTTAACATCAGGTGAACCGCCTGCTCGTTTGACACTTTGTCACATAAAAAAAAATTCGTAAAAACGGTACAAAGTTTTTTCTCCACGTATTAATATGTAAATTGTTAAAACCTATTTACGGATTTTATGGTGTTCAATTGTTTTCATAAAACCGATAACATCATTCTTCGTATACGGTTCTGTAAAGCTCGGAAGACTACGCATTGGTAATTTTTAATTAAGAATTTATTAATACAGAATTTATTAATTCATCTATTATTAGATTTATTGACGTATTTTCTCTTCATTTCAGGTCCGTCAAATGTGCGATCATTTCAATGTCAGTTGCTTCACCGTGCAACAGAAAAATAGAGGGAAATCGAATAATTAGCCATTGAATATGTTTTTCATACTTTTATACATTTTTACCAACCGTACTTTTACCGTTTTAATTCAACGGAGATTTAAATTGACTTGAAGTTCTTGGCTATTTCAATTTCCACCCCGAGTGCCGTTATCCGAATTAATATAAGATATACAGATGAGAATTATTGTGACCTGTTTCTGATCCATCCCGAAGATACTCCGTCAGGTACGGAGCGAAAATATGACACCGAGCCACAATCTAATTCACGAAATAATACGTAATTTAATACAGAATAGCAAAAAATGAGCAACGCAACTTGCGTATCGCGAAAAGTTGTACAGCTTTTTGCGTAGGTGCGAAAGGGATGACAATAGCGGCTCGCTTGGGGCCGCAGCTCCGTCTTCAAATTATACGTTCTCATAGCCTTGTAGCCGGGCGAGTTCTCCGGTGCGCGGCCAAAGTCATTTTACTCGTAACAGTATTTTGAACTCTACTGCTCTGAGATAGAGTGCATTGTGCATTGAGACTGTGGTGGTCATGTGACGTTAGAGCACCAAATGGAAATTTAGTAATGGGGGGTGCTCGACATGGACACCGAAGCCGGGGTTTAGAATTTCAGTATAGCTTCGGATAGCTACGAAGCGCTGCTTTTGTTAGCTCTCCAATTGTTTGCCGATTCGATTTTTTTTTCCTTCAATTTCCTTCGCGGCCATTAACAGAGTATGTCAAATTAAAAACCCGATTTAGCTGACAAAGACGAGCGTTCGATTTTCAAAGCGACAAAGTAATTGTTACAATAACGAAGAAATCCGTTACGGGAACTTTTTAAATCGAGAAGTGGACAGTGTGAACTATTTAAAAAGTGTCAACAGTGTTGTGACGCGCGGGAGTATTAATTTTAAATAAGAGATTAATTTATAAAATAAATAAATAAGCCGTGAAATGGTAGCTGTATTAAAATTTTCGCTCTAGGTAAGTGAGGTGTCCATAGAGAATGAAATTTAACAGTTTCCTAAAACTTTTGTGGTGGTGTGGCAATTAAAAACATTGGCATGTCGATCGTTTTGGTAGAATTGTTGAGACGCATGTGTTGGATCATGTTTTGCTGATAGGCCATGACTTGTAGCTGGAATGCAGACTTTCAGGCCGGAGGTAAATCTCACCATTAGATTATTTTCTAATAAGAATAATCGGAATCAAACAAATTATTATAAATTAACGCTTTCAAATTAAAATGTTACTCACATATATTAAAAATTATATAAACTATTGGAAAGTCTGTTCTATTGTTATCGTCCGATATTTAACTAGGAAATAAAAACGACGAAAAATTGGTAAAATTTTCCATTACCACAGTGTGATTTACGAGGTGCAATAAAATTTTATTCGATAAAGAAAAATCACTAATGAAATAAACAACAACTAGAATTATCTGGCTGCGCATAGTTTTCGAGAAAAAAAATATTTAAAACTCGTTATTATCACTAAGAAAGTCCTCCATTTTGTTATTGACAACATGTTAGATATAAAGCTAGGTACTAAAAGATTTTTTGTTAAAAATACATACATATTTGAAGTCGCACACTTTTCCAAACGGTAATTTCGCATTAATACAAAACACTGACGCTTCTTCGTCTTTGGTTTAATTATTACATTGTAACATTTAAAAACTTTCATAATCAAAAACACGTCTTGTCCACACTTTAAACAAACAAAACTTTTTACAAGAACACCACGACGACACAAAAAAATTGAAAAGTACTGAACGATCTGATTGAGATTCTAATAAAATTTTATAAAAAGAAATAAAATTTTATAAAAAGAAATAAAATATGAATTACAATACGTACATAATTCACTAGTGCTAGTAGACGCGCACATATTATCCACCATTACAAATACAAATATTAAAGAGGAAATTGAAAAGAGCGGGAAATACTTATCTTTTTAAATTTAATATATGATTAGGTAGGTACTCAAATATCAATACAGCCAATATGCTAATATCGATTTCGGAACTCGATTACAAATTTTATAAAATCTTTTTAATCAGTAGTATAAATTAATTTCAAGTATATTTAACACAAATTGATAGGTTTTTTCGTAATTGCACATTTTTATAGATCGAGAAGCCTTATCTAATTAAAATTAATAGTGATTTTTTCTTTAATTTTTTTTTAATTACGAAGATTTTTCTTTTTATAACCTATATATGATACGAAATATTCACCTTTCATAAATTTTAATTTTTTGTTTAATGTAAAAAAAATATTCATATTTCTGGCCGTGGAAGAGTCAAATTTAATTATGAATTAATAATTATTATTTCATTATTAAATATGACTCTTCCACGTGCTTCGCCAGAACACTCGCTATGTCGCCCCTGAGTGTCGCTTCACCCACTCGGCCTTCGCTCCGCTACGGATCTCGGCGGCTCGCTTCGCTCGCCACCTCGCCCCTTCGCTTCGCTTGGCCTCGCGGGCTGGCGGAGCCAGGACCTCCGGCGCGAGGTTCTGGCTCCGCCTTTTTATGTTCACTCTAGGGGTAGGGACCACAAGACCACATGGAGTCGGGGTGCTCTGTGTCGGATCTGTGACTTATTATTTTTTTACAAAAAAAATTATCGATTTTACAATCGATACGAGTATGACGTCACTTGCTACCTATATTTATTATATTGGCAGTACTGTATATTGAGTTTTTGAAGTCCACTTAGTAAAATGGCAGACTTTCGTAGTGAAAATAACAAATTTTAAATAATTTTTATCTCGAAAACTGTGAGTGAGCAGATAATTCTGCGTGTTCATTATTTCATTAGTAATTTTTCTCTATCGAAAAAAGTTTTTTGTTAGCTCGAAAATCAAACTGTGGTAATGGAAATTAATACCGTTTATTTTTATGCATCTGAAAAACGGTACATTTATATTTTAATGAAACCTATCACTTACGATAAATACATCATAAATCAAAAAACTCAACAGTTTTTATAGTTTCTTCTAAATCTTATTAATTTTATCGTTACACTTTCCAAAAAAAAAAAACTACTAGTAATGTTACCGAACACGGAATAAAAAATACAACCTTTGTGTTTATCCGGGTTATTGAGTATAAAACCATTTTCTTCCTTATTTTCCGACATAGTGAATAAAAATAAATAAGAACATATAATATCTGTAGTTACATATTACGCCTTTCGTATATTTCTGTAATATTTAGGTAACGTTAAGATTATTATCTATATTATCTATCTGTGATCATGAAGCGCATATACATTTTTTCGGTCAAAAAATTTGTTGCTATTGTCACGATATTAAAAATGTCGTTTTCGGTAGGAAGTAGATGTAAAACAACCGATTGCTCATACGTAATTTGCAAGCCGTCGTTTAGTAATAATGCGATTATTTAACAGGTGAGTTACTTATTGCGTTAGTTTTGTTGATAGATAATCGAATAGAAATGTTGATATCCAATGGAATCGACTACGTCAGAAACCAGCGGACGCTTGAGCATCACCGAAAATTTGCTTATAATAAGTGTGATAACTTTTTAACGTTTGTTTGTGGAAATGGCGCGTATTTTGGAAACGCCGCGTTCGTAGGCGTCCGAAAAACTAAAACATACGATATGGTAATTCGTAAACACGCCGCCGTTATATCGCGATACCTCTCCTTTACGTACGTCGATCTGTGAAATCACTAGTCGAGTGGAAATTGTGATGGCTGCGAAAATCGTGAACGGACCCTTTTTAAGTAGAGAGTAAGTAGAAGTAGTAAGAAGAACCTAACATGCAAGCCGGACGGTTCACCTGATGTTAAGTGATAACCGCCGCCTGTAGATATTTGCAACTTAGGGTTACAAACGCGTTGTCACCTTTCAAAAAAGCTTGCCCCGGTTACCTCAGTCACCAGACAAAACACAGAATAATTCTTACACTTCCACTTGACGCCGGTCTTCTGTGAGGTCGTGGTACTTACCCGGACGAGCCTGCCCATTCGTGCAACAGCCGTGGCTGCTGTGCGGCCCTACCACAACTTCTTATAACTTTAACATGAAAGATAAACAAGAAACAAAACCCCTTAAGAGTACCATATCGGAAGCAAATAAATTTATTCCAGCAGAATATATTTTACCTCAAACACTAAATATATAATTTAATAGATTTACACGAACCAACTTCCGTTTATCCTATGTATGTAGAACTCAAATGATATCCGACAAATTACTCGACAACAGTATCTTGTAATATTACCACTTACGTAACGATTCGTTACTTTTTATAGTTAAAAAAATCTGTTATTGTTAGTGTAAATGCACTTTTCTATTAATTAACCAGCCGATATTTGACACAAATAACATTATAAATAAGCAAAAATCTGAAGTAGGAATAACTAAGACAAACGTCTAATGAACTTTTCAATGTTAATAATAAGGAAGATTTGTTTACACACTAAACATGTTTTATGGTGATTTCTCCGGATAACCGAGAGACAGCCAGCTATTTCGTCTTAATTACCCAACTAAGTAAACGCCGATCAAAGAATTTCGGACCGTTTCTAAGAAAATTCTGAATCATTTAATTAGATTGGTCATATCGTTAATTTGTCACGTTATTGACACGTATGTGTATAATTTTATATGGAACCTAACTGTTTCATCAATCGCGCGTTATCTGTCTATTTCAATATAAAATAGCAAATAATTGTACTATAATATTCATCCTACATATATAATCTATAATGAATAAAACCACCAAGGAACTATTTTTATTATTATTTTAAAAACCTATTTGCAGATTTTCAAAATATTAATAAAAATAGTCCTTACGACGTTTTCCTTTCCTTCGCACGTGATAAGTCAACACTTAATGTTGCAACAATTTCATTGGGGCTGGCACCGGGATTCGAATTCAGATCGCTCGAGATTATTGAATATTAATTCATTATTCTCTTATTCTCAGAAGACTGAGCACTGGAACAGAATAGAACACTGAGCTATGACGGCTCTGTAGCTCTTTGCAAGTAACTTATTTAAAACACAATAACAATCCTTACTAATATAATATAATATATAATATAATCCTTACTACTTATATAATATTATAAAGGCGAAAGTTTGTATGTATGGATGGATGTATGTATGTTACTCTTTCACGCAAATACTACTGAATGCATTTTAATGAAACTTTACAATAATATAGCTTATACATCAGAATGAGACATAGCCTATAATTTTTATATATATTTTTAGTACCTATATCTGTCTTTCTGTCTGAGTGCGTAACACTCACACAACAAACATTAGACATTAGACACACTACTATGTATTTGACATGCACACGCATATATACCCTTTTTAACCGACTTCAAAAAAGTAAGAGGTTTCTCGATTCGACCGTATATATTTTTATTTTTTTTATGTGTTCGGGGATAACTTCGTTATTTATGAACCGATTTTGATGATTCTTTTTTTGGCGGAAAGGAGATATCCCCAGGGGTGGTACTATGATAAGGAAACCCAGATCTGATGATTGCATCCCAGAGTAATCGAAGGCAATCCTCAAATGTTATAGGAGTTGACAATGTTGTTTTACTTTCCTGTTTGAAATCGTTTTTTTCGTTCAAAATTATGTTTTCTCGTACTTGTTTATTGTTTATTGTATTTGGAAATAGATTAGTAACAGCCTATACACGTCCCACTGCTGGGCAAAGGCCTCCTCTATACAGAGGGTATCAGGGCATAGTCCACCACGCGGCCACACTGCGGATTGGCGGACTACTTTTTTTTTCGGGTATACTGCTAAAACTATTAAACCGATCGGAAGAATACTTACCATAAGATGCAACGTGTTTCGGAGAAGGTTTTAGTATATATGTTGGTGATTACTTATCCGGAACCTATATTTGACTTAAAGAAAATGGTATGACCCAGCGAATCGGACGGGGGACAGCTAGTAACATAATATTTAACAATCATAGACCGTTGTAACAAGTATATCTCTATCTACCCTATTAGCAGTTAGAGACAGGAGAGTTTGTATCGACACTATAAAATCATTAGCCCTATCGCACACATGTGCAGCTAACAAAACGCCCACACCGATAAGTACCGAGCAGAGAGCTGAAACGCTTTTCGACAAACGCAGAGCCGTCGATTAGATATGAGGGGCTTCCAACTGTGCCGGCTTGTGTCATTAGTAACATTGAAATTGCCAGTTTTAATTGTTTGACTGAATTGTCACATACTCAGAGGTGAAGGAAAACACCGGGAAACCGGGGAAACCTGCATGTTTTCGAAATAATAACAAAAAAAATTGAAGAAATGTGAAGTCCGCCAGATCGCAGTGGGGCATCTGTACACCCGAGGGTTACGGATGCATTGGCAACCTTTTGGAGATTGGGCTCCGGGTACCTGACTCACCGAACGAAACGCGAAAGTATTTGTTATACTTCCACTTTACGCCGCTCTTGTATGAGGTCGTGGTACTTACCCGGACGAGCCTACCCATTCGTGCAATAGCTGAGATTGCTGCGTGGCCCTACCGCAGTCATTGCATGTGGGGTCTTGATCACGATCTTTTCTTTCGCCATCTGTCGAATAGTTGGTTACTAGTTCTTAAATGATGGGCAACTGAAGATATAAATTGAAACCTACGAGGTGTTGCAGATGTCCATGGTGATTGTTATCACTTAACATCGGGTGATTTGACAATAGTAATTGTGATAAGCGAATATGACGTTGAACTAATATGAATTGCATCGGCGCTGAAACAGTTACCGTTATTCAAAATAACCGGGAGAAGTCGCTAGTATGGACCTATTATGCAAGTATCTATGAGCTCGTAAGACCTGTATCTATAAATCTTTGATCCATGACCAGCGATGAGTGAGGTACCCAGGGCCCACTTTAGTGAAAGGTGGCAACAGATCTGCAACTACGTTTGCTGCCAATGTCCATGAGCGGCGGTCATACTTACCATGAGGTGAACCACCAAATCGCTAGTCATCTTCTTAAATAACAAAAAATGCCCGTGCTTTCGACCCAGAGACTTTAAAGCTTCGTCAGACTTCACCCGATGAAAAGCCTCCGCGGCTTTTTAAAACTTTAGGATAACATTATCGTGTGTTGTAATGACGTTTTACAAACATAAATTTCACGTGGACAAACACCCAGATGCGAAACAACTATCCGTGCGTCAAACAAATTGTTGTCCCGCGTGAGAATCGAACCCACGAACCCCGATACCCAAGCCGATATCTTGGCAACTGCGCCACGCAGTCATCAATTACACAGTCATGTGGTAGGGCCACGCAGCAGCCTCGGCTGTTGCACGAATGGGCAGGCTCGTCCGGGCAAGTAAGCCTGGCGTCGTACTTTCGCGTTTCGTTTGGTGCGCGAGGTAGCCGGAGCCCAATTTTCAAAAGGTTGTCAACGCATCTGCAACCCTCGGGTGTAGCTGATGTCCACGGGCGGCGGTATTCACTTAACATCAGGTGGACCGCCTGATCGCTTGGCAACTTTCACATAAGAATAGAAAAAAGTCATCGATTTCCGCGAGTCAAGAGCTCCTGACGAAGTCCTCATTTCACGTAGTGCCAACGAGCCGCTCGGAATCGAAGCCGCTATATCTATCTGCAGGCGACGCGTGCGGTTCCGCGAACCCCCGGCCGCGGGCACGTCGGCTTGGCTCAGCCCACTCAGGCGTGTCGGCCGCGAAGGGACGCGAAAGCCTAGCGCTCTCTATCGATAAATTCATACACTTAGCAGGACAACACTACTCCTATAAGCGTAAGACATAATTATTATATAGTTCTGTTTATCCGTAACATTAGTAATGAACGTCTTTATTGCGCCTACCACAATTTATCTCCACGCTCCGGATTGACTGGGAGAGAAAGCCTAAAGGCATTAAGTTCGCCCTTTGTAATCCTTGATTGAGGTAATTATAAATATAAAGTATAAATAGAAAGTAAAATAGGTCGGGATTCTCCTGAAGTCCGCGACGCCCACACTAGTCCTCTAACCGTAATTCTTAATTATAAATGGTTCTGTTTATCCATTGGTCGTAATTTCTTTGTGGTGTCCTGTCTTTAAAAAAAACAAGCAAAACAAGCAGCTGATCTATCTATATATTCATAAACGGTCGCACAACACACATTCGGAACGAATTAAAAAAGTTGACGTAACCCTAAAATCCCCGTCTAAGTATAATTATCATGTATACTTCAATTTATTTTAATCATACTTATTTTTAATACCCTTTGATTATACGAAATTTAAACGACGTAAAAATTAAATCGGTCATCGATGAAAACTTTACGGGTGACTGTGCAATAAAATGTGTATAGGACTGAATCATTTTGATACAAGCAAGAATTTAATATAAGAGCTTTCGTCGCTATGACATCGGCAGTTGGTGGAATCGATAACTACCCCGTGGTGTTTAACCATCACTACTGACCTCGTGCTTATAAAAAGAGGACAGTACACTTCATTAATATAAGGTTAAGTAACGCCGAAGACGTCATTTCGGCTGCGGCCGCTTCCAGGCGATATAGGGTTACAAATTAATTGGAGGCCGCACTAACCAGGCTAGGACTGTATCGACTGTCTTAACGCGATAGCATTTCAATGTTTTCACTTAAAGGTGGTATTTTAGAAATGAGTGATTTAGCGTGCATCTTACTTTACTTAGATAAACTCTCCCGCGACTCAGTATGAGATAGTGCGATATCACTTAATTATTAATCAGTAATTAAAGAAGTAAAAATATAATAACAGCTTATACATGTCACACTGCAGATTGGTAGACTTCACGTGTCTTTGAAATAATTTTCTTTATTATTATTTCGAAAATATTCAAGCTTCCTCACGATGTTTACTTGTGAAGTAATTACGTAATAAATCGGTGAAGTATTACGTAATAAATCTCTACTTAAAATTACAATTAAAAATTTCATTGCACCGAGAGTTTTACTCAGACTTTTGCTCGAATATAATAAATTAAAAGTAAGCGCCCAGACACTTAGGGCTCTGCAGTACTTCCCTACGCCCGTTTTCTGAAACACTGATCATCGTAGAAGTGAACTATTTGAATTGATCGTTCTGATCAATTCAGAGAGTTTAACCACTCTTTTGGCAACTCAAATGACATTTGAAAAACCATTTGCCAGCTGATTAGTCAACTTCTACGATGATCAGTGTTTCAGAAACGGGGCGTTGATACCGTTATTTAATGTGCTCTAACCAGGTATTTAAAATTAGTCCAACCTAAAATCCAATTTTATTTCAATTAACCAAAAAAAATTACAATTAATTAAGAAAACTAAATCAGCTAAATGCTCCAATAAAATAATGAATAGATATAGAACAGGTATAACGAGAGCTTAGCAGCTATCCAGGTTAGTAATTTCCATTAGAAATATTTAGGCCCTAAGTAACGTTTAAGTCTTTATCGAAAACCTGTAACTTTTGGTCTTGTAAGCTTTACATAAATAATTGAATTAATCCACGCACTGGGTTGATTGAGAAGGAATGCCAAAAGACATTAATTTCGCCCATTGCAATCCGCGTTTATGATTATTACAAAAAAGTGTAAATAAAATAATAAAATAAATCTTTATATTCAGTGCCTTTAAGAATCTAGAGAAGACTAATCCTAACCTTAAATCGCACTTTAATGCACGTATAAACTTAAGTAAGCCATGTTAAGTGCATCGCCTTGCGTAATCGTTATTAGATAATATAGTGTCTCGATGAAATTTCGGGAAGAATTATTTAAAGTATCTATTCCATTTGAAACCCAGCAAATTTCGGACCGCACGCTGTGTAAAGACTCGCGGTCTAAGGTTTAATATTTGAATGGCGTGTATCGATTAGTTTTAATTTTCTGAATTTTATTTAGTGTAGTTGATATTAGTTTGCAATTTGGAATAGACAGTTTCATTTTGACACGATTGACACTGTTCAACGGTGGCAGTTGTGGCAAAAAGGTTCTCGAGTGGAGACCACGTGACGGCAAGCGCAGCGTAGGAAGGCCGCCCACAAGGTGGACGGACGACCTAGCCAAGATCGCAGGGACGCGTTGGATGCAGGCCGCTAACGACCGGTCGAAGAGGAAGTCCATGGGGGAGGCCTATGTTCAGCAGTGGACGTCCTACGGCTGATATGACGATGATGATGATGACACTGTCCAAGTCTTAGAAATGTTTTAAGGGTAGAACGCATCCGATCAAATATGAATGGTGGCTTGTTTCTGGATTAAAATACGACATTCGATTATAAAATTATCAAAATCTTCGGAGACATTATTGTGGAACTGGTCCGAGACGTGGCGCGACGGATAACTCATCCCACTCATCCTGATGAAGGACCTCCAACAGGTCCGAATCTAGTCGGTACATACACCGGTTGGACCTCACGTCCAGCCGTTTTATTATTTAGACATTCGATTAATAATTAGTATGGACGAATTTGTCTCGAAGAGTAAAAGAAAGTAAGTAGAGTAAAGTAGTGCCGTGATAGCTCAGTGTCCGGGCGCTCACCTTTAATTCAATATACTCGAGCAACCTGAGTTCGATCCCCGGTGCCGGCATCAAAGAAGTTTTTAACTTTAAGTGCTGACTTATCACGTGCCCCGCGGTGAAGGAAAACATCGTGAGGAAACCTGCATATTTTCGAAATAATAACAAAAAATATATATTTTTCGAAGATATGTGAAGTCCGCCAATCCGCAGTGGGGCCGCGTGGTGGACTATGCCCTGATACCCTCTGTGCAGAGGAGGCCTTTGCCCAGCAGTGGGGCATGTATAGGCTGTTACTTTACTTTTACTTTTATCATGAACAGTATCATGACTTTAACAGTATCAGTATGATTATTGATTCGTGTCTCGGTGGTGCAGCTGGTAAGCTGTTGGCTTGCCGGAGGTCGTGGATTCGATTCCCTCTCGAGTCGAGTATTTGTACGCCTCAAAGATAAGTGTCCGAGTGTTTATTTCCGAGTATGGTTGACTTCACTACATAGTTTTAAAAAAGAGTCGTCCCGCTGTCTGTCTGTCCCTATGTATGCTTAGATCTTTACTACTAATACTACGCACCGGATCTAGGTGCGTTTTGTTTTAGAGTGATTCAAGATGAAGACAGAGGTTTCGATAAGAGCCCGTGGCCACGCAACAGTCTTCGCTGTTGCATTAACATGTAGTTTTAAAGATCTAAGCGTACATAGGGACAGACAGCAGGACGACTTTGTTTTATACTATGTAGTGATGCACAGCAAAGAGACGTTTACATTTCAATTGACATTTTACCACAGTCACTCACTTGTGCCTTCCCGGAACCCCTCCACTAACACTTAAACTTTATGGTATGGTATTAAAGTTCAAATTGACTTTTAAGTATTTATTTATTTTTTACGAATCTTTTGTACGGGAATGTAGAAAAGTGTTGTTTTTAGACTTTTTCAGGCAATTTTTTTAATTTTTCTCTCTGTACCTTCCCTTCCTACTTCAAGCAATACTATAAAAAAAGAATTAGCGAAATCGTTCCAGCCGTTCATGCGTGATGGCGTGACCAAGGGAAATAGGGAAATAGGGTAAATCATTTTCATATAATATAGAGATTTAGCTAACAGTCTTCGATGAAGTATGAATGTAAAATTAAAATATTTTTCTTATGGTTAATACCTTCAATACTCTTGTGTCATTTGTTGGTTTGTGTACATTTCTAGATGGAATTGGATGGATGGATTTCTAGGTGGATGTTTTGGAAAAATTTAGGAATTGAATTTCATAGCCTTATAATTTCTGATCTCCGCAAGCTCGAATTCTTCGTCTCGAAACATTTTAAAATTCATTTCATTACCCCAGAGTAGTCGAAAAGACAAAAAGAAATTTTGAGAGATTTGGTTTTATGTTTCGAAAATCATGTTCATTCTTTACGTGAACACATGCACAGCACATATAACGTGGAAACAAGACGTTTTTATGATATATTAACGATGCTATGTTTTTATTACGGCAATAAATACTGCACCCAAAACTCTATGGCCAAGTTCCCACATCTAGTCCTTCTTATCTCGTATCAAATTCCATTAAACGCTATCCCATAGTAAGAACAACGTATTAATTAAAATAACACTACGGAAAGTTCACTAACCATGTCCCAAAATGCACATCTCTAGTGATGGGGTCATGTAGACGTCATGTAGACTACGCATATTAAAAAAAATTAAATGTTTTTTTTATTTCTTATTTTAAAAAGAAGTGCAAATTAATGTTTTGTACCATTTTATATGAATTCAAGGCATTTTACCTTTTAGTATTTTATTATATGTCAACTGTTAGATTTAATACGATAACTTAATTTCATACATACAATGCGTTAAAGTTTAAAATAAAAACGAATAAAAATAGATCGCATTTAAAACTTAAAATGGGATATAAATTAACTTTGAATAGAATTTTAATTGTTTCGGTTATAAAAATATTGAAAATTCCAAAAAAAAATACAATCGCTTAAGAAATGTTCCCTAAGTAAAATAGACATCACACAGATTAATTAAGAAAAACCTCTAGTGAGGTTCTAAGCGCATCACTGTTCGTGACAAAATAAACGAGCGGGACACATCGCGGCGAATGACCATAAGGTCCGAGAACAATCGCCACATGTGGCCACAGATTAACGAAAAGAAAAACAAAATTAATATCACCTGTTCTCTCTCTCGCACTTACGCTTTACGACTATGCCCGTCTCTGTCGGGCGTTCGACGAAATCATTCTTGGAAGTGCCGGAGTCGGCGCACGCGTACAATGCGGGTGTTGTGAGCACGAATTCCATATTCGAAAAAATGGAAAAAAAAAAGAGAGAAAAGAAACCGAGGAGAGCGTTCAACGTTTGCTGAAATGATTTAAAAACTTTTTCTGCTATTAGATTCGAACAAACAGTGAGGTTTTCGAAACGGTAGGAGCGATTAAGATTTGTATTTAACTGTGATCGGTGCTTTCTAGTTAATATCTTAATATCTAGTTTTCGAAATGACTCTTGCTCTGCACTTGCAAGACCCCTGGCTGCTGCTGATTTTATACCCAAATAAGTGTGTATAAATAACAAAAAGAACAAGACCGCAGAGTTTCTTGCCGGTTCTTCTCTGGTCTAGTTTAGTGAACCGGTGGTAGATTTTTGTTGACGTTCAATAAGGGCTTAAGTTAGGCCTATATTGAATAAATATACTTTGACTTTGACTTTGACTTTGAATATCGGACAAACAAACAAATAAGCACCTACTATTCATTAAGCAGTGTGGTAGAAGTAGACGACACAAAACTAATAAATTCATTGGACAAGCTAAACTCACAAAGGAAGTTTTTAGATGTAGATAAATAGACAAAACCAGGGTTGCATAAAATCGAAGAGATAAGAGTGAATGAAATAAGAGTGAAAAAAAAAAAATTATGACTCCGTTGCCAAGGTATTGGCTTCGGCGTCGGGGGTCATGGTTCGATTCCCAAACGGGACAACTATTTGTGTGACCCACAGATAGTTGTTTCGCAACTGGATGTTTACCCGCGTGAAATTTATGTTTGTAAAACGTCCCTACAAGACAGTGTAATGTTATTCTAAAGTAAGGGCAATTGTTTTTATATTTATAAAAAAAATGAAAATGTATTTATCTCATAGGTACTTTGGCTGGCAATACCAAAGAACAAATTCCAGCAAAAGTTTAAATTAAACAGCTTTATCTTTAAAGTCGATCTTTCTAGACTAGACTAGGATATTCCTAGTTGATACTGCATAAAATAGAAGAGATATATGAAAAGTAGTAACGCGTCTTGCACGTTGGTGGGCATCGCCGAACGGAACCGTCAAATTAAAAATAATGTTTACAGTGATTGCTCACGAAATAAATGAACGTAAATACCGGGCGAGTTTAAACAAACACATCCGTTCACGAAAGAACGATATTTAGTCCCGAGTACTTATTGTATCAGCGTTGCTCGGAGCCAAATTGGAGGGCGCAGTTATTTTTGATAAGTACAAGACCAAACATTATACCGAACGAATAACTAATAAACAATATTAGATCTTGAACTGTTTTCACAAGTGACATTAGGTACAGCATACGTTATCAGTTTGTTATTTGCATTCATCGAACACAATAAACATTAATCAGAGAATAAAAAGGACTAAAAAATATGCAGTCTCAGGGGAATCAAAATTGAAATTGTATAATATTTAATTCTACATATTTTATAGACACCGAACGATAATAATAGTATAGGTATCATATCCATAACTACAAATATACTTTTGCGTATTCCTTTTTTAATAATAGCTCATGGACAGCGTTCCGTGACGATGAAAAAAGTAGTGAACGCGCCTAAAGAAGTTTTCACCTCAAAAATTAACCTCAACAATGTTTCGAATACTAGCGGCTTACCTATATTTTGCTAAGAAATCTAATGACGAAAACAACTTGAACATCATTAAGCAATCCATGTAATTATCTCAGCTAATCAAATATCTCGTAGTACGTTTATAACGACGCGACTGCATAAACTAAAAACGTACAAGGGATCTCACAACAACAATTATATATTCATACAATGTACCAGGGCACCCAAAATGTGTAAGAGTCGCGCGCGCCCCAGATAACAATCGGGGTGCTTTCAACGTCCACGTTTATCTCGCCCATCTGACGCGTTCAGGGATCGACAACTTTTTGTAGCAACGTTCAAGTTCTATTTATAAAAAAAATGAAATGTAGATTAACGTAAAATTAGACGGATAAGCAAGGCGTTCCTGTTACATTCAAGATATTGTCGCCCGACAACAAATGTAAGGTTTTCTTTGCATTACGATTTCTTCATATATATTTGAGAAACATGACAATGTACAGATAAATCATGTTAAATTGTGTGTTCTTTTTGAAGAATGAGTATTATTTAATTAGAGTAATTTTTGGGTTTATTTTTTATAAAAAAAAAACATTTACATGAATCAATTTTCATTGTAACATACACACGACTCGAAACCACTAACAAGTATCTACGCATGCGCATAGATGTATGCAATGTACTAGCAAAAATTCAATTATGTCAACATTTCACAAAACTAGCACACCAGGAGTACATAAATGGAACTATGTTTATCTACATAAAGTTACCGACGAGCGAATGTTGCAAAATAAACAGAACATGATCGGGGACGGCAACGGCTTTGTAATACAAAAACGGCGCACATTCAAGCAAGCAAGCACGCATACGAATCGTTTTCTACATGACGCCGCTGCGAAATGGTGACATCATCGCAATTGGCGTATCGCGACCACCAGGCGTGCATAGCATAAGGTGTCTGTCTATTCCCGATACGGCAACGAAAATATAAACATCACTTTCATCTAGGGTTGCGGCTTCATTTTAAGTTTTTTTTTATCATCTCTCCTATTGTAAATTTAAGGCTTATTCTATTTTGCTGCACACACGTGATAAACTAAAAAGTAATTTACGCCTTTAAAAAGCGTAGGTACTATGTTCGCGTAGGTTCTATCGTTGTTGATATAAGAAAAATTAATATTTTTAATAATTGTCTTAAAAAAGTTTGTCGATATGATACTTTACTAGGTAAATAAATAATAAGGAAACAACAAATAATTCTTAAGTTATTAAATGTATTCTCAACCCTACTTTTATGCAACGCATAGCAGGTTATGATTGCTTGGTGTGCTCCTAACTGCAGTAAACACGCTTGAGCTTTATTTTATTTATCTGTAAACGTTGCTACTAAACCTGTCTCACGTTTTATAAAGTCCTGGTAAATGAGGCTGCCATCATAGTATGTAACTGGCATTCAACAAAAAATGGTTAACGTTTAAATATCGCAAGCGATGTCTCTACGATGTCTATTAAGCCAAATGAAATGACAAAAACACAATTTTTATACGAGTATTTATAGTGAACTTGACGTTTTTACTGTAATATTTTTTCGAATAAAACACATTAAACCAATAATTCTGAGTTTTTGTGAAATACAATCTGTTAACGCGTTGCTTACAGTTTCGCAAATGGACGAATTTTGTACGTCATAAAACTAATAAAAAAAAAATGAACGTACGTTAATTTAAGATTAAATTTTCAAGTTTATATTCAAGCCCGTGCCGATTGTAGATCAATATTAAAATTATACTACCTTAAAATTACATACATATTTAACGCATGACAAATGAAATGGCATGACTAGGTAGAATTTAAAAACTACTTTAAAAAAAAGTAATTCAAAAATTTTTAATTTTCAACATTTCTGTCCGGTCATAATTTCGTATCCACTAACGATCAGAAGTATAACTTGGAATTATGAGGATATCGCATTTTACTCAAAATTACAATTTCCTTATTTGGGGGAACTAGTGCTTAAGAACGCTTTGTCTTAAGACTAACGATTATTACATGATACGCAAAGAAAGCTACTTTTTACAATATTAGCCATATAAATTACAATCTGAATTACTTTTATTTCATCATAACCCATATTTATCACTCGTATATTTTGAGTATAAGCCGTATATACAGATAAGAAATATACCCATTTTATTAAACAGGTTTATCTCACGCCGGGATTCGACACAAAACAACAAAGGACCAAAAAACCTTTGCTTTGTAATATTTCTAACAGCGCAACGAAAAACGTGGCAAAACGCAATTTATTTTAGGGAGATTCTGCTTTTATGTCATTAAAAATAAAGGTGAAAATAGCATGGGTGTCGATCCTAGAGAGAATAGCGCGGAGGATTGTTCGAATTTCAATTGAGTTTGGCGGGCGGAAGGGGCGTGGACCGATCTGGGCGGAGCGCGGGAAGGAGATAGGACACTACGGATGTTCGTTGTTCGAATTTCGCAGCTGCCCCGCGTCGCGATTTTCGGCGGGATTATCTGCCATCTTTAATTCGCGCTGTAATGGAGGAAAACTCTACTGAATTGTTGGCTATAACTCTCGTTAGTAACGAAAGTAAAGATTTTAAAACTATCATGCCCAACCCAACACTGTATAAAAGTAATGAATACTAGTACGAAAAAAAGAGCTCGATGAGTCTAAATGGAGTCTTGAATCCGTATGAGAAGTTTGTAATTTCATATATTTTTATATGAAATAATTTTGAGTAAAGAAAACAGAAAAACCTTGCCAAAATATGCGGTTTCTTCAATTCGATATAATGCCTTTTGTGAAAATGTACCTGTACTAACCTGTACCGTAAATGAAACCTGTGAGTGTAGAACCAAAGTGAGATTGTATAGACAAATAAAACGCCTTCAGGGTCTGTCTTTGGGTCCGTGGATGCAAAAGTGGCTAGACATTCATTGGGCTAGCGCATGACCACTAACGGGATATAGTTCCACTTGTACGGGCTACGTAGACTTGAGAGACCCGTATGACTTTTGCATGGGAGAGGATGCCAAATGAGCAATCGATTACCGCCACTCACATCCCATAATAAATATTCCCAAATCACACTGGTGTATGGTGACATGACATACAATCTATATAGAATTGAAAATCTATATAGTATGTAGAAAACTTCATCGTATGTAAGAAATCCATGATTATAATTGTTTTTCATTAGCAGTCCCACCGAAATACTTAGAATAATAAAGTAAAATAGACCTAACGTATGTCATGTTCGGTTAAGGCCTCCTCTGAACTGATGCTATTAGGGCAAAGTCCACCACGCGACCCCACCGAAGATTATCTTACACCACATAATTATCTTCGGAAGTAATTTTTCTTATTATTTCTCAGGTATTTCACAGCCTAGCACAAGATGATCATCGGAGTGTGATGCAATA